AGTGAGTGAGTGAGTGAGTGAGTGAGGGAGGGAGGGAGTGAGTGAGTGAGATGAGATGAGATGAGATGAGTGAGGAGGTGAGTGAGTGATGAGTGAGTGAGTGTGAGATGAGATGAGATGAGTGAGGAGGTGAGTGAGTGAGTGAGGGAGTGAGTGAGTGAGATGACATGAGATGAGTGAGGAGGTGAGTGAGTGATGAGTGAGTGAGTGTGAGATGAGATGAGATGAGTGAGGAGGTGAGTGAGTGAGTGAGTGAGTGAGTGAGTGAGTGAGTGCGTGCGTGAGTGAGTGAGTGAGTGAGTGAGTGAGTGAGTGAGTGAGTGATGAGTGATGAGTGAGTGAGTGAAGTGACCTGAATTGAGTTGATTGACAGTAGTGATTGAGTTAGTGAGTGACAGTGCGTGAGTGAGTGACAGGTGAGTGAGTGAGTGACGTGATGAGGTGAGTGACAGTGAGTGAGTTGTGACAGTGCGTGAGTGACAGTGAGTGGAGTGAGTGGCAGTGGTGATGACATTGAGTGAGTGACAGTGGTGAGTGACAGTGAGTGTAGTGACAGTGAGTGAGTGAGTGAGTGACAGTGATGAGTGAGTGGACAGTGATGAGTGAGTGACAGTGGAGTGACGTGCATGAGTGAGGAGTGACAGTGAGTGATTAGTGACAGTGATGAGTAGTGAGTGACAATTGATGAGTGAGTGCAGTGATTGAGTGAGTGAGCAGTGAGTGAGTGATTTGACAAGTGATGAGTGGTGACAGTGAGTGAGTGTAGTGAGTGACGTGATGGTGAGTGACAGTGAGTGAGTTTGAGTGACAGTGAGTGAGTGAGGTGAGTTAAGTAGTGAAGTGACTGAGTGAGTGAGTGAGTGAGTGAGTGAGTGAGTGAGTGAGTGACAGTGAGTGAGTGAGTGACAGTGAGTGAGTGAGTGACAGTGAGTGAGTGACAGTGAGTGAGTGACAGTGAGTGAGCGACAGTGAGTGAGCGACAGTGAGTGAGCGACAGTGAGTGAGCGACAGTGAGTGAGCGACAGTGAGTGAGCGACAGTGAGTGAGCGACAGTGAGTGAGCGACAGTCAGTGAGCGACAGTCAGTGAGCGACAGTGAGTGAGTGACAGTGAGTGAGTGACAGTGAGTGAGTGACAGTGAGTGAGTGACAGTGAGTGAGTGACAGTGAGTGAGTGACAGTGAGTGAGTGACAGTGATTGAGTGACAGTGAGTGAGTGACAGTGAGTGAGTGGAGTGACAGTGAGTGAGTGACAGTGAGTGAGTGACAGTGAGTGAGTGAGTGAGTGAGTGAGTGAGTGAGTGAGTGAGTGAGTGTGAGTGTGAGTGTGAGTGTGAGTGTGAGTGAGAGTGAGAGTGAGAGAGTGAGTGAGTGAGTGAGTGAGTGACAGTGAGTGAGTGAGTGAGTGGGTGGGTGAGTGAGTGAGTGACAGTGAACAGTGAACAGTGAACAGTGAACAGTGAACAGTGAACAGTGAACAGTGAACAGTGAACAGTGAACAGTGAACAGTGAACAGTGAACAGTGAGTGAGTGAGTGAGTGAGTGGTGGTGAACAGTGATGAGTGAGTGAGTGAGTGAGTGGGTGAGTGAGTGAGTGAGTGAGTGACAGTGAGTGAGTGACAGTGAGTGAGTGACAGTGAGTGAGTGACAGTGAGTGAGTGACAGTGAGTGAGTGACAGTGAGTGAGTGACAGTGTGAGAGTGAGAGTGAGAGTGAGAGTGAGAGTGTGAGTGAGTGAGTGAGTGAGTGAGTGAGTGAGTGAGTAGTGAGTGCGGCGCGGCGGCGGACGGCGGCGGAGGAGAGCGGCGGGATCCAAGCGAAAAACAAGAACCCCACACAGTGATGTGGGGAAAATTGGTTTGAAACAATGGCCATGAAAGATATAGTGATTCAATCGTAGGGTTAAGGCTGTGTCAGGTGTCAACGTCGTCCGACTTTTTTACAGGGAATCCCTGGCACTGAGGATCAACAATGGCTGTGGAAGGTTTTGATGATTGGCTTCAGCGGCGTGCTGATCCTGCAATTGATTGCAGTGGATGTGGTCCCTCAGCTGGTCTTGGTTTCACGATTTTCCGTGATTTTTCCGGGTCCACAGGATGCAAGTGGCAAATGAACAGCTGCTGGGAAAGTGGCATGGCATGGTGGTATTTTCTGTTTGTATCTCATTGGATCTGGAAGAGGACACATGTGACTGCTCTCAAGGCTATGTTATGTTGGTTTCCTTCGGGTCTTTGGGCGAAAAAGAAGGCAACATTTCAATCATTGGTTGATCACCAACCGTGATGACGGGAAACGGGAAACGTGGCGTTTGACAAACTGGCTGCGCGGTCATGGGCCTAGCTCTCCAGCCATGAGGCGGGTGCCATGCTGACAGGTTTGCTGTTGGCGTTTGGCATCTTGGCAAGGAATCCTCAAAGGTTGTGGGACCACCATGTGAGTGTTCTGTTCATCATAGTGCCCGAACAATTCAAAATGTACCCAATAGCCTTGGAAACTGCCTTAAACATCCAGGACTGCAGTTACTCTGGCAGAACATTGTACATCATCATACATCGATCGCCACATCATGGTGAAACTTGACAAATCAGGACATGGCCCTCACGGGGTCCAAGTCATCCATCGGTCCCACACGCGTAGATGTCAAAAAGTGCTTCACCTTGACTCCGCTGCACCGCGCTGCAGGCTGGGTCATGCTGAAGGATGGAATGTGCGAGATGCCAAAATATGCTTTGATATATGCAGTATCTTGGTTGCCGCAGTTGCATGTTGTGGATCCGAAACACGTTGCGGACGCAGGGCAAGTGTCGAATTGATGTGAGCTCAATGGCCCAATGGCTGATCATTATGATGGCTGTAATGACGGGGTACATCCCCTCTTGAAGGCCACAGGTAGGGCAGCTGCCCATTGGAGTGTCATGCTCAGGTCCTTTGTGGATTGAACTTTTTCTTCGAAATTCTTCCACTTTTTAGCGAGCTCAATGGCAGGGTCACGAGGCTCTGTCCAGTTGACAAATCAGTTCGCTTTGTGAAATCATCTGGCATATTGTTCTATGATGTCCTATGTTTCCCATTGAATTTCCAGTTGAACCTAGCAGTTAAGAACTAGCATTTTTTTTGTGTCACAGGAGTTAGAACCAGCAGAAACTATTCTATCTATTCTTGTATGTTATGTTTGTTAAATTGCCATCACTAATCACCAAGAGCTTAATGGCCTCGTCTGCTGTTGGATTTACTTTCAAGCTGACCATGAGGGCTGAGCACAGGTCCCACAGGTTCACAGTAGGACCTCGGCCTGCAGAACTCAACACTGCCTCATTCAAAGGAGAGTTGAACTCGCATCACCTCCATCATATGTCCGGATCTCAGATTGACAGGTCAGAATACATGCTGCCATTGCTGCCATATTGCTGCCATGTGCGACAAGGAGATGAGATGAGAGTCTATGTATGTGATGGAGTAACTTTCCCATGAGGATTTGGGTCAAAATTGAGCACTCCGAAACACAGTTGCAGTTTCGGACTAGCAGATTCAGACGAACAACTCAGCTGCGGCTCAAACAGCTTGGCCAAGGTGAATGGAACACGAATGTCGCTCAACTGGGACGGGAGGCTTTTTGCACGAGGTGACCAAGAAAAGGTTCAGTATGGACCAGTGTGGTATTGGTTTATCTCTCAAGTAGACTGGTTTGAAACTCAGAGCATCCACTGTTGGCGAAGCATATTCAATCTACTGGTACTGTCATAAACCCACTAGGCCTTCAAAAGTGCTCTTGGCAAAACCAGAAGAAGCATTTTTCCCAGTTTTTCCACTACTTATGCTGGCGATTTTATCTAACATATTTGCCATTTGTTTCCAACTTTTTACTAAAGGTTGAATAGAGTTTCTTCTTTTGATAATATATATATAATATTGAAATAGATTGGTATTTTACTGAGTTGCTTGAACTCTTGCTGAGGACCACATACACTTTGGCAACGCAGACGAGCAGTTTCTTCGCCCCTTCTCAAGGCGTAGCATATAATGTTTGGCCCTCAGAGGGTTGATCTCGACACGTATTGACTTCGCAACCAACACACGCACACACACACACTCGCGTGTGTGAGTTCCCCTGTTTTGTTGGAGGGGTCCTGCTTGTTTCAACTGATTAGACGCAACGAGACAAGGCGAAGAAGAATCCAAACACTCGCGTCTTGAGAGTTCCATTTATGACTGGATTCAAAGATACGAAGTGTGCATGACGACAGCAACATGCGAAAGTTCCGCCAGACCGCCAGACCGTGATTGGCACAGAATCTTGCAATGCTCCAGTTGTTCCGCTTGCAAGGCTCCAGTTGCTATAAGCCTTGCGGTCAGAAAATCTACAGCTGACAAAAGATGTCACTCAGTCTTGGAATTAAACATGAAAGCTTTGGAATGTTTAGTACTCAGTACTCTTCCATTCTTCTTCGTGGATGTGGGGCAGTATCTCAAAAGCAGCAAACATGCATAGTTGTCCACATCCCTAGATTTTGCAGAGTACCAGGGTACCATTGACCAGTCCCCGTTTTGCCATGAGCTTGGTGCTGACTGCGGCGCGGCGCGGTGGGCAACTGCGCAGATGTTTGCCTTCGATTTTGACGAGTTGGAGAATAAGAGTCCTGCTGCGGCCTTAGAGAACTTACAGCGACTTCAAACCAAGTACCATAGATTTTAAATGATGGTTGATGATTAAGGTTGGGAAACCCTAAAATATGGCTTTATATTATATCTTTAAATCAGGCTTGAGATGATATGAAATATGATCTAGAAGTACTGACCTTCAGCACTGACTGCACAACTCATGACAAAGGCAATCTTGAGTGGCAGGAGTCCTTGCAAACACCAGGCCCTCACGCGTGTTATGGTTCACCTCCCCACAAAGCTCTGCATCATTGACCAATCATGGGCTGCAGCTAGGTGCAGATTAAGCGAGACGAATCTTCGAGTGAAGTGAGAAGCCAGACGAAGACAGCTGCTGGACCTGGGTTACGCTGTGGTCCCTGGGTGGTTACAACTGAGGTGCCCAAAAGGTGCTGAGAAAGGAAATGTGGGGAGCATTCCACTGTGCTTTCAATGTCAATATATCGGTATATCCCACATATCCCACATACAAAGGATTGTAATATGGCTCATACAGCTGAAGCTGAGGATTTCCCCTTGTCGTGTCTGATTCCATGTGCAGGACAGAAGTGCAAAGCCACTTCACCGCCCAGCGGGACAACAGCAACAAGTTGCCTGACCTTTGAAGCTGAAAGTCATGGCTGCAGCGCAAATTTCCCTCAATTTGCGACTACCATTTCAAATCGGTGCTTTCATTTCTTCCAATAGACATTTTTACATTATCCAGTTCCAGAACGCTTCCAGAGGTTCCAAAAAAGCATCACGTCTTTCCGTTCCGTATCTTGATGGAATGACAATTGGCAAGATTTCCGTTCCGTAGCAGAATGACTCACCACGAAAAGGTGCAAACACCTCCCCCATTTGTCTAGCATGTTTAGCTATGACCAATCCCACAGCCAAGGGCCCAGTGGCAATGCTCCACTGACGAGCCACGAACAAAGGACCGCCAGAGGGTCTGGTGGTATCAAGGCAGAAGGTTGGACGCGAATGGCACAGTGGTAGGATGTTCTTTTATTTCTCTGAGAGATTTCACCTGCAGAGGCAAGTGGGGTGTTGCGAACTCCAGCATGGGTATTGTACACCTGGAGCTGCTTTGTCGTTTGTAGAACTGTTTGTTTTTTGATTCAACAGTCAAAATGTTTGTCTCTACCCACGCAGTCAACTCAGTCAATTCAGGCTGTGCCCACGAGGGCTCACTTTGATGTGCATTCACTCTATAAACCAGGTCCTTGATCTACATGAGGAGATAATAAACATTAATAACCAAAGATGCTAAAAGACGGGGATTCGATGATTGTGTAAGTTTTGTATGGCAGGTGCTCCGTGTGGAAAGGGGGAAGTTGGGGAAGGCTGGATAAAGATGTGCCAATGGAGTTGTGATTCCATGATCCCACAAAAAAGATACTGTGGCTTAACCCCCTATGGTTAAAATAATCTGAGGTGCCTGGGGAGAAGGAGCGGAATGGTCGCTTTTCACTTTTAGCTGGGAATAAATATTTCTTGACCTTGCAAGTTGGAAGCGCTGTTCATTCGCATTCAGCTGACAACTTGATGGGTCGAAGAACCATGGCTCTTGATTGCTTAAATTGGCTGCAGGATTCGGCAATGGCACATGACTGCGGAATGTATTTGCCAGATGTTGCACGAAATGCGAGAGAGAGACTTCGTGGCCGGGAAGGGCTGGATGGAAGGGATGCACCTTGTCCGAAAAACATGTTGTTTTTACAACTCCATCTCAGACATGTTCTGAAAAGCGCAGTAACCATGTCTACTGTGATTATGTATATTATATAATACTATATCGTATCATATTATTGTATTGTGTTGTGTTGTGTTGTATTGTATTGTATTGTATTGTATTATTTTATCTTATCTTATTTTGTCTTATATTATCTTATCTTTTACTGTTTTATCTTATATTATCTTATATATTATCTTTTCTTATCTGATCTGATATGATATTATATGACATTATATTGTGATATGATATGACATGGCCATTATTGTGTTGATGCTTATCATATGATATATATATATATTATGTACACATGATCCCATCCCCCAACATTAGACACCCCCCAGAAACCATGTTTGGGACCGAACTGTAGGGGGTGTTTAGCAAGGCAACATCTCATCGAGCACACCCCCAGAGACCACGTTGGAAGACGCTATGGCCTAGACGACTTTGCAGGCGAAAGCAGTGTTGAGAAGTTGAGCAATGTTGAACACACACACATATATATATATGTTCGCGTTCCACATTCCTTTGTACCTTCATATGGTTGGTAAACATTGCAGGGACTTGTTTGAAACCATCCCTTGATGGAAGTGCCATGTTCCGGTTCAGCCCTCTGCGCTGTCTTTGGAATTTTTCAGGACCCTTGCTTCGAGATCACTTCATCCAATGGACCGCAGCGCATTCCAGGGCAGCCCCTCGGCAGCACCGTTTGAAAGCACGGTTTAAAAGTTTGTTGGACCAAGCACCTCCCGGCAAAAAGTCGCAAGTTCACCATCCATACAGGGAATGTTTGATGGGGATATCGCATATACATATATATATATATTATCAACTTGAGGTGACTCTGGTGGTGAAATATTCGCAAGAAAACATGTCTCAGAATGGGGGATCCCAAAATCATTTGATAATCATCATTTTCCTACTGAAGTTGCGGTTTTGGGGTGTCTTTGGGGGTGCACCATTTTCCAACAAACCCACCTGATGACAAGTTTGTGTTAGTTGGCGCACAGAAGGTCCGAAGGAAGAAAGAGACATGCAGACATTGTCAAAGTAGCTCAAGTTGTTCAAGCCACAACCAGGTTTTTGCATCGATGCCTGCAGCAACAGGTTTCAGCTTTCTGCAACAGCAAAGATTTCTAGACTCGTCTGAACAACCCACTACCAAGTTGTAGAGGCTCGGCATCCATCGGTGCCGATCGAAGCTCATGGCTGCTGTGGCCCCCTGTGCTTACTATGGCTGCGGCTGTGGGCAGCCTGGGCACATGGCATCCTTCTTCCAAGGTGGTGGGATGGCTTACCCAAGCTGTCCACCGTGTACACCACAGCAGCTTCCCGTGAAGCTGCGACTGCACCATCTGCTGCTGGAGCTGAAACCGATCGAACGAAAATACTGGGAGGCGCAGCATTTGGTGCAGCAGATGCCCGTCCATGAAGTTCGTCTTTGGGTCCAAGCAATCCTGGAGAAGCCTCTGCCGATGCAGTGGATGCACAACCTCAGCATTCAGTGAATGCTGAGGTTGTGCATCCACTGCATCGGCAGAGGCTCAGGCATTCACATTCTTGGAGAACTTCTTCAGCTACATCCAGTTATTGTGACTTCTGAGTTCGGCAAGGTGGGTAGCGGGTATGGCTCAAAATTATATATAGAATAAAAAGATGCCCTGCAAATTGGATGGGTTTGTCAGAAAACGACTAATTAATGTAACTTTGTGAGTTCAGTTTTTTGCCATGGCCAGGTGAAAAAGAACGTCTCATGGCTCTTCCCGGAAGATGGAGATGTAGACCGAGCAGGTGTGTTTTTCCGAAATCTCCTTTGGACAAAAGAGATCATGGGCCAAAACACCAAGAGTGAAGCCTCCACATTTTCAAAGCTTTTGATGAAACGTACCAAGCAAAACGACCTCTGCAAAGTACCAGCATGCATTGCGAGAGCTTGGTTGGTCCACATGTGGAAAGATGAGCCTTCCTCGCGTCCAAACCGAGAGATGGCAGTGAATTGTGTGGTGCGCTGGCTCGCAGACCCTTGTGAGATGCAAGGACAGTGGTTCAAGCCGGTTCCATACATGCATAGAAGTCAAAGCCAAGGATTTGGTCTCTTAAAAAGACACCTAAACTATCATTTGGGTTTTTCAATTTCATATTTTTGCTGGCAATGTCTGGTGTGTTTGGCTGCTTTTTTGGTCTTTCCCCTTGGAACCCTGAAGGAGTGAAAAATGCCTGCTTAGGGATTTTTGGCGAGGAAACGGCTCGCCAAAGTCCTGCCAACGCGGAAAGATGGATCGTCTCTCTTCTTTTGCAGGAGGCGGATGTTAGATGAAAAACAAATGAGGGTTTTCCATACGTGGTGGTACCCCAATAGCTGGATGGTTTATCATTGAAAATCCCAAAACAAAATGATGATGTTTTCATATTTTTTCTCTGATTTTCGGAAACCTCCAAATAGTCATTGAAACGTTGAATTTTGTTGTTGGTCATTACTCTCTTGGGGGTTGGGGTTTACAAAACAAGATTCAATACCAGTAGTACCGCACAAGGCGGTGGCGGAAGTTTCAAAAATAGGAAACCTTTAGGAAAGGTTGGTTGTTGTGAATCACGGATGGCAGGGCGAAGCCACTGATGGATCGAAAGGTGATTGATGTCTTCTCTCTTTCTCTCTCTTTCTCTGACTAATCTACCTACCTACCTACCTATCTATCTACCTATCTATCTATGTATCTATCTATCTGTCTGTCTATCTATCTATCTAGCTATCTATCTAGCTATCTAGCTATCTCTCTATCTATCTATCCATCTATCTATCTAGCTATCTATCAATCCCATCCGTCTATCTAACTGTGTATCTAGGTATCTACCTGTCTACCTATCTACCTGTCTACCGATCTATCTATCTATCGATCTATCTATCATATGGATCTACCTATCTACCTATCTACCTGGCTATTCTACGAGACTTCTTCATTTTTCCAAGTTGACAACATCAAAAACGCAGCGCTTCTGCGAGACTTCCTCATTTTGTGAAGTTGACCACATCAAACAGAAAGCAATTCTGCGAGACCTCCTCCTTTTTAAAAGTTGACCACATCAAAAACGAAACAATTCTGCGAGACTTCCTTCATTTTTGAACTTAACAACGTCAAAAACGAAGCAATTCTGCGAGACTTCTTCATTTTTCACACCTGGCAACATCAAAAACAAAGCAATTCTGCGACAGCCAAACACCATGGTCCTGAAGCACATCCTTGCACCTGCCGCTGTCGCTGCCTAATGATGCTTTTTTGAAGTCTCAAGAAACGAGCTCCAAATGCAGCAGCCAAGTTTCCAAAAGTGAGGCTTTGCGAGAGCCAAACACCAAGGCCCCTGGCGTCCGCTTTTCCTTCAATGCACCCCCTGCTGATGGCCGGGGTCTGTGAATAGGGATATTTTCGCGAAAGTTCCGCGAAAGTTGTGCGAAGGAGTGGCAGAAAGTCAACGTGCATGTTGAAGGGGGTCGGCCAGTAAACCTTCCCAAAAAAACCTAGTCAGCAACAATCTGTCCTGAGAAGGGATTCCATCGTGTGCTAGCTGCATGTTTAAAAGGCTATCAAGAAGTGATGCGCAATTTGGCAGGTGGTGAACGAATCTTCAAAAGAGGCGTTGTTGGCCAACATGGGCCCCGCGAAAGATAAACATAGAGTTTGCGAAAGTTTCGCGAAAGTAACATTTTTATCCGCGAAGAATGGCGCTTCCCGGATAAAGGAATTTTGATCAACCATCATATAATACATATACTTGCAGTATACACATAACCATCCATAATGGGCTCTGAACCTCCTATTCCCATCAGGTGTAACATGAGATTATATCAGCGATATTGTTGTGCATCACTGCGCCACTGCGTTACCTGCTTAACATCCTGCAGAACCCTTTTCCCATTTGCCAAAGCAGTTGTATCTGTGCAGTTGAAATTGGTAATGTCTGTATGATCAGTACTTGCATCATCCCAGTGAGTCATTTCTTGGTAAACCATCCAATTCTTGGGATAAATATACGGTAATCAAACGTGGCTGGGTCCTGGATACTGAGGTCATTGGTGGAGGCGAAAGCGTTATTGAGCAGATCCCGGTGCCGAGCTAAGTACACATGGAAACCGTTTCTGCAGAAATTGGTATCTTAAAATGGGGTATAACCATGAGGATTTAATAAGGGGAATGATGGTTGAGGTACCCTATTTTCCGACAAACCCATGTATTTTTCCCCACAACTTTGTGTGGGGTTCTTGTTTTTGATTCTGTATCCCGGGTCGCTTCCCCGCCTCCTCCCCGCCTCCTCCCGCCTCCTCTCTTTGTCAACCTCCCGCCTCCCGCCCTCCATCTTTCACACACAACTTTGTCACACACCATCTTTCACACACAGCTTTGTCACACACCATCTTTCACACACAACTTTGTCACACACCATCTTTCACATCTTTCACATACAACTTTGTCACACACCATCTTTCACATACAACTTTGTCAAACACTATCTTTCACACACAACTTTGTCAAACACCATCTTTCACATCTTTCACATACAACTTTGTCACACGCCATCTTTCACACATCACATCTACCGTCGTTTTAAGTGGCAGGCGTGGCACAAACTCACATCTGCGGCACTTTGCGTGGCAGGTGTGGCACAAACTCACATCTACCATCGTTTTGCGTGGCAGGCGTGGCACTGATGGCAGTGGGTGGCGCGCTTGGTCTGATTTGGTCACCCGTGACGCCGCGGCACTTTGCGTGGCAGGCGTGGCACAAACTCACATCTACAGTCGTTTTGCGTGGCAGGCGTGGCACAAACTCACATCTACCATCGTTTTGCGTGGCAGGCATGGCGCAAACTCACATCTACCATCGTTTGGCGTGGTAGGCGTGGCACTGATGGCACTGGGTGGCGCGCTTGGTCTGATTTGGTCGCCCGTGACGCCGCGGCACTTTGCGTGGCAGGCGTGGCACAAACTCACATCTACCATCGTTTTGCGTGGCAGCCGTGGCACAAACTCACATCTACCATCGTTTGGCGTGGCAGGCGTGGCACTGATGGCACTGGGTGGCGCGCTTGGTCTGATTTGGTCGCCCGTGACGCCGCGGCACTTTGCGTGGCAGGCGTGGCACAAACTCACATCTACAGTCGTTTTGCGTGGCAGGCGTGGCACAAACTCACATCTGCGGCACTTTGCGTGGCAGGTGTGGCACAAACTCACATCTACCATCGTTTGGCGTGGCAGGCATGGCACTGATGGCAGTGGGTGGCGCGCTTGGTCTGATTTGGTCACTTTGCGTGGCAGGTGTGGCACAAACTCACATCTACCGTCGTTTTGGGTGGCAGTCGTGGCACCATCTACCATCGTTTTGCCTGGCAAGCGTTGCGTGGCAGGCGTGGCACTTATGGCGCTGGGTGGCGCGCTAGGCGTGGCAGAAACTCACATCTACCATCGTTTTGCGTGGCAGGCGTGGCACTGATGGCACTGGGTGGCGCGCTTGGTCTGATTCGCCGCGGCACTTTGCGTGGCAGGCGTGGCACAATGTCACATCCACGTTCGTTTCGCGTGGCAGGCGTGGCACAAACTCACATCTACCATCGTTTTGTGTGGCGTGCGTGGTACTGATGGCACTGGGTGGCGCGCTTGGTCTGATTTGGTCGCCCGTGATGCCGCGGAACTTTGCGTGGCAGGCGTGGCACAAACTCACATCTACAGTCGTTTTGCGTGGCAGGCGTGGCACAAACTCACATCTACCATCGTTTTGCGTGGCAGGCGTGGCACTGATGGCACTGGGTGGCGCGCTTGGTCGTCGCCCGTGACGCCGCGGCACTTCGCGTGGCAGGCGTGGCACAAACTCACATCTACAGTCGTTTTGGCAGGCGTGGCACAAACTCACATCTACCATCGTTTGGCGTGGTAGGCGTGGCACTGATGGCACTGGGTGGCGCGCTGGGTTTGATTTAGTCGCCCGTGACGCCGCGGCACTTTGCGTGGCAGGCGTGGCACAATGTCACATCCACGTTCGTTTCGCGTGGCAGGCGTGGCACAAACTCACATCTACCATCGTTTGGCGTGGTAGGTGCGGCACTGATGGCACTGGCTGGCGCGCTTGGTCTGATTTG